TCTGAATCAGAGCTCGAACTTGGAACTACTGGGATGGGTGTTTTCAGCGGAATACGTCAGCTGAATGCACTTGTATCACGCCACGCAGCAAATATTTTATATCACTTTTGTTTAGGGATGTCAAAATAACAAAATATATCGATATATCGGATCATGATATATCGAAATAACATAGAAAACTATTATGCAATGTCAGGTCACCGTGGTATTTTCTTGTCCCAAAATGCGCGCGGAAAAGTACTTTTCCGCACAGTCGTAGAAAAATAACGTTCTTTAGTCATGCAGAAAGTCTCTTTTCCTTTTCCTTAATAGACACTTTAAGCAGGTCCTAAATTTCAGACGTATCCGTATCCGCATCGATCTGCGCATGTGCAAACTAGATACGGTGATTTCGTTGCGTTTCGTTGTGCGCATCGTTACGGGCCTAGCCTCGTATCCGTATCCGAAAACGAATCTCACACATTTGACACTATTGGGAGATATTTCTGTCAGTTATCACTAAAATAACAAACAACATAAACACAGTACAAATAAATTTAAAAAAACCTACAAACACCGCTGCAAATCAAGATAACATTTTTTGAGGTTAGAAAACGTTTTATCCAAGGATACGATCGCTTACGTAATGTATGGCCATGCTTAAACTTTTAGGCGGTCACGTAAGTCGATGCGTTTACGGATGCGGATACGGCTACGTAGAAAAATTTAGGGTTTGCTTAGGGCGGGTATTATAAAACTGCTTTGACAGTTAACTTGAAGTTAACTTTTTGAATTACATGTAATTCCAGAAGTTAACTTTAAGTTAACTCTCAAAGTAGTTTTATAATACCCGCCCTTAAAGTGTCTATTTAATTGGTACGCACACCAATGAAGTAGTAAGAAGGTTGGAATAGCCCTTTGCCTATCTACTCAATACCATTGAACTAAACAAACACTCTGGAACGGGCGCACTGGTTTATACTAGTGTGCCGAACTTTGATATATGCAACCCAGCAATACAGAGGGATTGTTGTCTCGCTCGCACTCATTGCGATGAACGTAAAAAAAAGAAGACCTTTTTCATCTTCCTAACCTCAATGATCCAAACACTTCAAACTAGGGATGTCAATTTTTTTTAAAACACCGGTTTTTCGATTAACCGGTTACAGTTTTAACTGCCCGGTTATAACTGATATAAAACACCGGTTATTCCGATTAACTGGATGTTCGGTTATTTTTCCGAATTTTATCATAGGTTGCATAATTTTATACTATAATGTAACATAAGTTAAACAACTACTTATTGTCCGTCGATTTTAATGATACTCGGACGAAATGTGAGCTAGTGGCTCCCTACATTAGAACGCCAATGGTTACCTGATGTCACACCTGTTTTTGCCATATGAAACACCCCCTCGTTCGTCATACGGAAAATGTCAGTTAAAAATCCACGAACAATATCTTTAGTATAAAAAAATCGGGAAATGTTACATGTTGTTAAGAGAAAGCATCAAAGACCTACACTTTTTGTCTTTTGAGCACATTTTAAACATGTACCCATTGACATGGATCTTAACCTACATGTACAGGGTGAGCCAATTTGGACACTTCCTTATGGAAACACCCTGTATTTTAAGAGATAGAAAAAAATGAACCCCCCACTCTGAGGCTCAAATTTCATGAAATTTTGATATGATTGGTGCAAACCGCTTTTTGATATCTTCAACCGTTTAGCCGCTAGAGGGCGATTCTCGATTTTGAGCAATATTGTGAACCCTTCATAACTTTTTTGTTTATGAAAATAATTGATTTCCGTGAAAACTTTCTGGAAGCACTTTTTAAAACAGAATCAGGGACGTTCTTAGTTTTTTTCTATTTGGCGCCGATTTTGAGATATTGACTAGAGTCTGATTTTTTTCAATGCATTATATTAATAGCTCATTGTAGAGCTATGATTTTTCTGATTTTAATGATATAAAGTTCGATAGGTTTATCTCTAACCGTTTTCGAGAAAAAAAATTATTTTGGTTTTTGTCATAAGAAACAATGTATTAGAAAGAGACCTTTTTCATTTTCCTTACAGATATAAAGTCCTTTTCTAACACATTGCTTCTTATGAGAAAAACCGAAATTATGTTTTTTCTCGAAAACGGTTAGAGATACCCCTATCGAACTTTATATCATTAAAATCAGAAAAATCATAGCTTTGCAATGAGCTATTAATATAAAGGGTGCCCCATTGAAAAAAATCAGGCTTTGGTCAATATCTCAAAATCGGCGCCAAATAGAAAAAAACCGAGACGTCCCTGAATTCTGTTTTCAAAAGTGCTTTCAGAAAGTTTTCACGGAAATCAATTATTTTCATAAACAAAAAAGTTATGAAGGGTTCACAATATTGCTCAAAATCGAGAATCGCCCTCTAGCGGCTAAACGGTTGAAGATATCAAAAAGCGGTTTGCACCAATCAAAATTTCATGAAATTTGAGCCACAGAGTGGGGGGTCCATTTTTTTCTATCTCTAAAAATAAAGGGTGTTTCCATAAGGAAGTGTCCAAATTGGCCCACCCTGTACATGTGGGTGCTGCAATTTGGAGTGTTTTAACAGAAAAAACACACTTCCAGACCAGATAGAGGAAAATTGACTTAGATGTCATGGGATCGATTTTCGAGAAACGTCGATTGTCAAAAACCGTATCGCGATATTTTCAATGGTACCATTAATACAGGGCGATTTTCGATTTTCCCCTATTAGGTATGAAAAATAGTTATAAGTTTTTTATTTAACAATTTTTTTCATTTCTGTAAAAACATTATGGAGACCCTTTTTTGAGCACAATCCAATGGCGGACTCGGTTTTTTTCTATATCGCTCCGATTTCGAGATATCGACCAAATTCCGATATTTTCAGATGAAACATCCTTTATATTAATAGCTCATTGGATAGCTCTGTTTTTGCTGATTTCAATGATATAAAGTTCAATAGGTTTATCTCTAACAGTTTTCCAGAAAAAAAAAATATCTGTTTCAGTCATAAGAAACAATGTGTTAAAGAGAGACCTTCCTCACTTTCCTTACACATATAAAATCCTTTTCTAACACATTGGTCCTTACGACAAAAACAGATATAATTTTTTTTTCTCGAAAACTGTTAGAGATAAACCTATCGAACTTTATATCATTAAAATCAGCAAAAACAGAGCTATCCAATGAGCTATTAATATAAAGGATGTTTCATTTGAAAATATCGGAATTTGGTCGATATCTCGAAATCGGAGCGATATAGAAAAAAACCGAGTCTGCCACTGGATTGTGCTAAAAAAAAGTGTCTCCATAATGTTTTTACAGAAATAAAAAAAATTGATAAATACAAAACTTATAGCCATTTTCCATAATAGGGGAAAATCGAAAATCGCCTTTTATCAATGGTACCATTGCAGATATCGTCATACCATTTTTGACAATTGACGTTTCTCAAAAATCGATCCCATGACATCTTAGTCAATTTTCCTCTATCTGGTCTGAAAGTATGTTTTTCCTGTTGAAACACTCCAAATTGCAGCACCCTGTACATGTCTCTTTCAATCTTGTTCATTAGGGAAAGATGGAAAACAACCAACTGCTGAACAAATTAACCGCAACTGAAATGAAATACTAGAGATGGGCACTACTATCGGTTAAAGACTGTGGAAACATTCGATTGTTGTCGCTTATTCAATTTTCACAATTTACTTAATAAGACGAGAGAAAAGTCTACTTGTTTCACTTTCACCGGTTATTAGGTATTAAACCCGGTTCTCCGGTTATAACTGGAAACAAAAAACAACTGGTTTTAACCGGTTAACCGAAGAGAAAACACCGGTTTTTCGGTTTTAACCACCGGTTATTGACATCCCTACTTCAAACAGCTGTTCTCAATAGCCGCCATAGTGCAGAGAGAGATGCAAATCCCACTTGTTTGTTGTCCTTCCTGGCACAAACCCTTGCATAGGAAGCATTATGCAGCCACCGTTCCAGTGTGTTTGTTTAGTTCATTGCTCAATACATATATTTGCCGCCAACATTAGACTGAGAGAATAGGAGAGATCCATTAAATTAGCTTGCCCTTATTAGCGCTATCTCACTCAGGGTTAGAGTGAGAGATATGGGAGATCCAATATATTTCTTGCCCTTATTAGCGCTATCTCATTCTAGAATCAATTGAATGACGCGAAGCTCATTCCATACCAATGAACTATAAACTACACGTATCTGGAATGGCACCGACCGTTGTCGGATATGGCATTTGTATGGCATTTGTCATCTCGCTTAGTGCGTCCAAACAAAAAAGCTACATAGTGGGGTATCCCTTTCTCTCTCCAGTTCATTGCTGTTAGGTTTGGCATATTCCTAACCTCGAATAAAATATTTTTTAGACAAGGAAAGATTTCCATGATTCGCCAATAAGATAAATAGAGATGTGAGTACCCCACATTCTCCATCTCAATCTGCCGCAAATTTATAGATCGGCGGGCCATTCCAGGTACCTACGTGTAGTTTATAGTTCATTGTTCCATACCTCTTTCTACTTCATTGACGCACACTCCCTAGCTGCCATTTGTTTCATTTCAGCCGCCACTGTCAACTGTCAAAGTGTTACTGTCAACCAATGAACTATACGCACTAGCGACGGCATATTATAAAATTTCCGATCGATATATCGAAAAGATTATATCGATATTTTTTTCGATATATCGAGGGCCATATTCTCCGTAGTTTATAAAGCCTGGCTTAGTGAAAAAGCTCGGCTTTGTCACACAAAAAGCCAAGCGTTTCCACTAAGCCAAGCTTTATGAACTACGGAGAATACAGCCCCGAATGTAAGATATTATCGATTAGAATATATCGATATATTTGAAAAATAAATCGATATTTACAAAATATCGATATATCTTTGCCATTCCTACTTTTGTTGCTCATAACCTTTGTTTCAAATCAAATCTCTCATTACTCATAACATTACAGCCAGGGCACGTGTGTGGGTTGGGTTGTGAATTTCCACTTGACCACTAGTTGATTTCAGAAAAAAACCTGGAAAAAAACGTAATATTAAACAAGGTGATTTAAAGAGTTTTAGCGACATCGGAATCAGCAGCAGAGTTCAGGATGAACAGTGATAAATTGAAGAAAATGCAGTCGCAAGTCAGAATTGGCGGCAAAGGTACCCCAAGAAGGAAGAAGAAGGTTGTCCATTCCACCCAAGCCAAAAATGAGAAGAAATTGCAATCATGTTTGAAAAAACTGCCACTGCCAGTAAATACCATTACTAACGTTGAGGAGGTGAGTTTTTAGTTCTTTACTTATTTCTTTGAAGATATCAAAGTTCAGATACATGATTCCATACCTATCAAGTCTTCAAAAAAAAAAAACAATCAAAGATTAAAGATTGCTTGTCAGGATTTTTGACATGACATTTTGACATTAAAGTGTACTGAGAAAATAAGAAAAAAATATTGCTAAGACATACGTTTAAAAAACCATGGCAATCTTTGATTGTTTTTTTTTTTTGAAGACCCGATATATCCTATTCACAATCCGTAGTCCAAAGGTAAAGGTAAATTTATCACCTTTCCCTATCAAATAGCACTGAAACGTAATAAATGTGGACAGAGTGCAAGGAGTGCTGCGTTGCCAAATTGACAAAGTATTTTATTTTGTTTGGCCAGACCTTATCAGTAGTATTACATTTTTTGTTATTTGTACATTATAAATTGGAGGCGAATAATTCAATTCGGTATGAAGGAATGTACTTAATGATCAATAAAAAAAATTATGACGGGAAAAATCTCGGGAAAAATATAAAAAGTCTTATCATGCAAATCATGTTTGACATTTGTAATTTCTTCTAATAAATTGCATTTCATTTAGTTTGCTTACAAAATTCAATTTAAATTAATTACTCAATATTGTTTGCAAAATTTGCTTTTGTCTTACATATTATAATTATACAGTATAGCTATTTGGTATTTTCCTAACGAGTGCAGACAATATAGTATCTATTGTTTAACGAGTGACGAAAACAGCAGTTTTTGCAACAAGAATAGAGTTTACCCTCGAGCGAGGGGGCGACCACTTCCTGCAATATGTGTACGTTTGGCCTGAAATCACTTGCAATCCCAAAATCGTTTTCCGCAATCGCTGAAATCTGAAATCCTATGCAATCACCTTTGCAATCTCTGAAATCGCTCAAAATCAACTCTAGTGGGGATAAAAAATCAGCTGTTGATCGGGATTTCACGCATTTTTGCGGTAAATTGATAATCGACATCAAGTTGTTGTTGCGCTCATTTTCAAATTCAGCAGTGTTTTTTTTTTTTGAAGAATCAAATGCTGGATCTCATGTGGAACAAGTGGAAATGATATCCAATGAAAAATATGTATGTATTATGCAGCTCTTTATGAGACCTAGTATATTGGACGTATTTCAGAATCATTGGAAAATGACACTCGAATCAAGTTTTTAAAGTGGCAGTTGGACATATACAGGGTATTAAGTTATAAAGTACCACCACCTGTAACTTTTTTATGTACAATCAGAAATAAAAAAGTTACAGGTGGTGATACTTTTTAACTTGCCACCCTGTACAGGGTGGCATATTTTTGATGTTTTTTTGGCCTATATCGAAAACCAGTAGATGTTTTTTTTGAGGAAATAACAAAGGGGAAGACAACTCACCTCTAAATTGTTTTTCAAGAAGAATCCAGTGGCATGACTAGTTTTTTTTTGAGATGCCACCGATTTTGTAATAGTAACCCTGATGTTAAGTTGTATTTTTTTGAATAGGACCCCCCATATATTATTTTTTCATTGCATAGCTTTTTTCGAGCTATTTCAATGATATAAGGTTTTATAGCTTTACCTTCAAAAGTTTTTGAGCAAAAAAATAACTATAATAATATAAATAAATTCCATTTCTTTATAAGAAACAATGAATTAGAAAGGGATGAAATATGAATCGGCTTTAAATTTCTATTCTTAATTCAACATTTCAGCAAGTTTTTTTTTTTTTTTTTCAATTTGAACTAGGTATGAGTTGGGGGTGATGATGATAAATAAGCCACACATAATTTATTTCATGACTTATCTCTTTCTAGCTCATTGTTTCTTATGGAGAAACGGAATTTATTTTTTTCCTTAAAAACTATTGAAGGTTTGAAAAAAAAAAAGGTAAAGCTATAAAACCTGATAACACTGAAATTAGCTCAAAAAGAGCTATGCAGTGGCAAAATAATATACGGGGTGTCCCATTAAAAAAAAACACAAAAGAAGGCATCTAGAAAAAAAATTGGTCATGCCACTGGATTCTACTTGTATAACTGCTTGTAGAAAGTATTTTTGGTTTTTGGATATCTTGATTAATAAAAAAATTTGAAACTCTTTTAAAATTGGACAAAATTTGGTAAGTGCCTTGTATTTCCTAAACACATATCAAGTTAGCTGTGATTTGTCCTTGCCGCCATTGTTATTTTTTTAGAAAAGAGCTCCAGAATGTGCTTTCACATTTTTGATATCTCTGCACTGCTGGTTTTCGATATAGCCAGTGTCGGACTGGCCCACCGGGCAAAATCCCGGTGGGCCAGATGACGTCTTCGACAGGTGGGCCATTCGAATATTTATAAATAGTACATTAAAATACAAGTTTCATAAGACGTCATTTTATCGCACGAGCCCTATATTAGAAAACGAGCTGGAGGCGAGTTTTCTAAAGGGCGAGTGCGATAAAATGTCTTATGAAACGAATATTTTATACTATTTTTTCTATTTTGGTATTGTTTAATTTAAAAAAAACAAATTTTTCTTGGAAAATATTCTATTATAAAATCGCGAATGACAGTTCGATGGCCATCAGTCAGCCAGTGTAACCAACCTCCGATTAGTAAAAAAGGAGTGTCACAAAGAGCTTCTTTTCGAAACTACTTTTAGTGTCGAAAAGACTTCGATATGACACCAAAAGAGAAAAAATAAATTAAAATATCCCACTCCCCACGCCATTGATCATCAAATCATACGTTATTTCGCGTAATCCACCGTCCACATGAAAATTCAACTACCTATCTATCATATCAATATCAGCTCCCTTCTGTTCTGAAAAAGTTCAAGGGGGAACCAAAACAAGGTACTTTTCAGCTCTCCCCGAACGACCCCTCAAACGGTAGTCACCCTAACCCCAAAATTTTAAATGGGCCTACTATAGGTCCAAGGATGATACACACTACTACTACAGGGGCCTAATTCTTGAAAGTGGTGAAAATATTCGTCGGAATTTTTGCGATGTTTGATTTGTTCAATAAATTTTAAGTTGTTTTTAGTTTTTGTGAATGAATGAATCTTTATTTGCAGACATGCCACTTTACATTTCAATTCAACAATGATAAACAAACAATTTATTAACAAAAATAATGCTTAAGAATCTAAATTGTTTAAAAAATAAAAAAGTTTGATACTAACAACCTTACAAATAAACTTGAGCAAAATAAATTTGTGGTAGAATGACTCCTCAAACGTTTTGATTGTTCTGATCGGTGCACAGATCTGGCATGTAGCTTAGCTTACTGGCTTGTTCATTCTGGGCTTTTATCAATTATCGTAGTATATCCTAAATTTGTACTGGGGACCCAATCCCAGGGCCGGTTTAACCAGGGGTCTTTTGGGTGCTGTAGCACCGGGCGGCAAAATCTTAGGGGCGGCGCGCGAAGCGCGTAACGACCCTTAAAATTATTACTTTTTTATTTCTTTAAGGGTACAACATCGCTCCCATGCACACGATACAAAATACAGAAATCGGTTTTAGACTACAAAAAAAAAAACCGCACATCAGAATTTGCTGAAATTTGGCATAAACATTCCTTGATCGATTATCTAGAGAATAGTGCAGTTAGATTTTCCATATTTCGAATTTTTTTTTGGCCTATATTGTGAAAATGAACTATTTCCCAAAAATAGAAAAATCCACGGTAAAAATCGAAAAAATAAGAGCACTATTCTCTAGATAATCGATCAAAGAATGTTTATGCCAAATTTCAGCAAATTCTGATGTGCCGTTTTTTTTTGTAGTCTAAAACCGATTTTGGAATAAAATTACAGATATTTTTGGCAAATATAGTTCAGGCTTTTTTTCGAAGATGACGCCACCAGTCAATTCGTGATGTCATAATTAGGCGTTTTCGAAAAACCCGAACCGTTGGAGCAGCAGCTGATGTAGGTTGTTCAGCGTTTCCAAAAAAGCCTATTGACAACAGAACCTCCTTCTCACCTCGTGTATTTGTTTTGTTTTTTATTATTGGTTTATAAAATAATAGGCACAAAGCATGCTGTACCATTAGTTTCCATTGAAAATAAATAGAGTATCCATTTTACGTACCTAGGTATACATAAAAAAATTGGATCGTGTTTTGTAGGACAAAATGTCTTTGAAAAAATAAAAAGCTTCAATAATAATTATTAAAATTTATTTACAAAAGGTGGAAAGTGCTAAAATTAGAGTTTTTCCCTTTGTTTTCTTGCATATTTGTGCAATAATAATATCCACCAATGCAGTAGAGCATTCCATTTAGGTATCTGGCGATTTGCATTTCTTTTACTAGCTCTTGGATCTTTTACCAATATCTGAAATTGTGTAAGACTCCTGGTAGGACTATTTTTTTATTATTCCTCCGAGTATTCCTCTATTTGTAAACCCATTCATGTGCCAATTGCTTCCTGAAAATCTCATAGGTACCTACCACAACTAAACATACCTCAAAAACAAGAAACAAGCTCTACAACAAAACATCACTTTTACAGAGTCGAACAAAATTTGAAGTCATACCAGGCATGGAAATACAAATTCCTCCATAATCTTGCTCAAAAGGGATTACTTGCATTTACATACACCTCATACATTTCAGCCTGTAAAAAGACTAATTTCACTATAAAATGTTCCAGTTACAATTTCAAGTAATTTCTGACCTCGTATATAAATGCCATAAGTTTCTTGCATGGAAGAGAAAAATACATGGCTTTCATAAAACAAATGAGTTGAATGGGAAACTGGAAGAAAGTATAATTTCACTATAAAATGTTCCAGTCAGTCACAATTTAATTTTTTTTACCTCATGTTTAAATGGAATGAGTTCTTTGCACAGGATTTTGGTAAAATAAATTAGGCAAATGGAGAAAAAATAAAGTCAACAGAGAACTACAAAAAAAAATAGTAATTTAGAAAATACCTAATTTAGAAATAGGGTATTTCTCTACCTTATAATATATAAATGATTAATATTATTTGGAAGAGTACTTTTTCACCAATTCTGGAATCATATGTTCATGGTAAAAGTTGGTCAGTTTTGGTAACATTTCCTTATTCCAACACTGTTCATCCTGTAGGATGGCATCAACATACAAGGGTTGCTCATCATTTATATAAACCACAAAAAAGCAAATATCATTTTTGCAGATGTTGAGTTGTCCCTGGACCTGAAAAAGTCATACTCAAAAATTGGCCAATAAAAAGCTTATATTGCAATGATAAAGTACTTGGTAATAATAGTGGTGTTTTCTTTTCAATCTCAGTTGTTCTCTTCCTGTTTCTGAGACATACTTTTCCACACACAAAGTCCTATCTGTTAAAACTGCCTCTTCCAAAGTTTTGCCAGATTTGTCGACCTTGTGTAAGCATTTAATCTCCATAATACCATTCAAATTCACCATTGCTAAGAAAAATTATGTATTAGTCAAATAAATATGTATGTGCATACACATACAAAGCAACGTAACATTATTTCAACTTACCATCAGGCTTGCAGCAAGATAATTAAAAGTGGGATCAATAAACAGTCCACACTCCCGAACTGTAGCCTGCCTCTCCTTGGCAAATCTTTCCCGCGCCACAGCTTCTTGGACTTTGCCATAGTCCATGGCGACAGTTCTGATATTGGTGGGATTTATAATCCTTTTAACCAACTTGTCAGGAGCAGTGGATTGCCTTCTTCGGCAGACTTCACCAAAATTGGATGCTGTATGGCGGTCCTTTCGGTGAAGTTGGTAAAGCCTATTTTCCCACTGGCCAATGGTTTGCTGCTCTACGATGGATATGTCGTTCGGCAGTACCTAAAAACAAAAATTACTCAGAATAATAATTACAGATACACTTGGAGACAAACATACTTTCAGTCTATTCAAAAGCCTACTTTTCTCAGACTAATCTACTCTTCCTCTGTGAGAGAAGCTTGTGCGGCATTTGGCCCATATCCTGCTGCTTCTTTCGAAACTTTCTTATTAGGAGGTTTTTTTTTTAGGATTTCCTGGAATCTGCGCTCTACGTGCACTGTCATATTCACGTCGCTTTTTGCATTTTCTCACAAACGATTGAAAGGCAGTATCTAGCAAAGTGGAGCTTTGCCAATCTGCACCTTTATTGTACCGAAGTCCAGACAAATAGGCTCTTGTTTGCAAGGAGCCTTTTTGGATGGTATTCTACCGTTTGCCTGCGTTAAATTTGCAAAGCAAGGACATAAACATCTCAGCTCGATTGTTTGTTTCATTATCAATCAATTTGTGGCCCTGGCTTACCACAATTCGCTGAAGCACGGTTGTTATCCGATTGAAAATGCCAGCAATCTCCATTTCTGCCACTTTATTGCTGAAATCCCCAATACATTGACAATATAAAGGATTACATGTGAGGTGATTTCCAAAAACATGATAAGGACCATTTTCCAAATCAGTTTTTAAATTGTCGACATCTCCATGTGCGTTGATATATATAGCTTTTGTAGCTATATTTTCAAGATCCTTTATGGCATTCACCGTCAAATATTTTCGACCAGCAGCAGCAATGGTGGTATCGTTTTTTAATTTGTATAGCGCAGTTCCATAGTTTTTGATAATATGGTTTTTGCAAGCTATTTTCCTCACTTCATTTCCATAAGGAACGGTTTGCTGAATTTTTGCATGTACACTGCTGTCCCCATCAGCAATGAAATGCAAATATTTTAAACCATGCATCTTGATGCTCTCGCGAAATCCTTCACTAATAATGTCTGCCTCCATAGCCCCGGATGACCCATTCCAATTTTTGAAGCAATGGTGCTCATGGGGTTTCTCACCTTTTTTCTCTGCTTTTGCGCAAACAAGGCAGTATTTATTTCTGACACCAAGAAATAATATTTTGCCAGTGTGCTTTCCAATTATTACAGCCTGAAAAAAGATATGGAACAAATAAGTTTGTTGAACCAAAATAAAGATATAGTCTTTGATACAGATAGTATTATTATTATACAAAAGATTGAAAAAACAAAGTCATTAGATTGATACTCACGACCTCAGATTAACAACTAAAAACGACAGATACAACAGTAAACAAACAATTCGCGATCCAACATCCATAAGGTCGATTTTTGCATGAAAAGCCTGGTTGCCAATAATCCGATGTGATTTTCAATATTAAATGTTTTCACGGATAATCATTATTTCAAAATATGTTTTAACATAATATAAATGTTTTTTTTATATCAATCTTTGTTGAAGCATAACTTGAACGCCTTTTTGAAAAAAATAATTAGTCTTTTTATAATTTAAATTGGTGAAAATTCGGGAAGAACCAGGAATATATGGCTCGAAAAACAGCACATCGGCAACGTTGCATCTACGAGCAGCCAATCAGATGATTTTAGGTGACTTATGGCAGCCATAATGGATTTCGCACTGTTGCTGTGAAGTGATAGAGATAAATTTTGTGATTTGAGTGTTAATCAGTGGTATTTTTGGATTTAAATATGTGGAAAGTGTGGTGGAGAACGTTAAAATGGTAAATCGATGTATTATCTTTATTGATTCCAAGCACATTTTAATATTTCGGCGGTAAGTAATTTGACATCATTTTACGCTTGACATTGGCGTAGATACAGGATATTTATGGTAATTTATTGTGAATGGCAAAATTGAGAGGAAACTGAATACACCGCCACTGAACAGTGTTGCCATTTTATAGGTCTATCTCTCTCCTACTCATGTCAGGGACTAAAAGATGATTGATTGTAAACATTGGGCGATTTCTAAATGGCATGTTTAGTCTCTAGTTTTATTATTAGTCTGAGCTCACGACCCCCGAAGCTGCATTATATATAATTATGACCATACGATTTGTGGCTCCATCCGCCATCTAGATACACAGTGATCCACGGAACTCCGTCCACATCTAGGGCATTGGTGGCCACAGCATTGTTATATTCTTCCTTGGCCAGCCTCTTCCATGCTGTCCCAAAGGGTTTTTTTCCAATCGTTGGCAAGTTTCAGTTCCAATTTGTGGTACATTCGATATGACAATGGTGGTATGTTCATGATACTTAGAAATTCGGTCATTGTTTTAAATGTAGTACCTCCACTAAATGTGGCCCAAACACAGGCATAATTTAATTGAAGCCGGATTTCTTCAGCACCTTTTATATTGCACAGATTACATATAGGGATAATATTTCAGTATAGCTAATATTTACCTTTCTGTGTACGACATTTTGTTTAAAAGTTGCACATATTACAACAAAAAACAATGGTGCTGACAAGTCCATTGCAAATTTCTCTGTGCACTTTCAATAGTCCAAGGGTACATCTTTGACTATGTTTGAATTGAAGCTCCATACAAATCTCTGTTACATACTCCAAATCAACAATTCTGTTCCCTTAGATAACTGTCGAGTCTGGTCGTGGTGTTCTTTCAACTTCTATAATGTGTTCATTGACTCTGAAAACGTGTAAAAAAATAAAAAGATGTACCTAACTTTTTATGACTATTTTATCTTACTCATTATATTCCTCTTGGCTTATAAATGAGAACTCATGAAGCTGTTCATCAGGCAAAATAGACATTGCTGGGTCTTGCTCAGATTGTAGAGGGTTAGCGCCAGAAGTAGATTGATTATTTTCTTCCACGAGGTTGCTAGAATCATATTTATTAAAAATCTAAAAAGATAAGTACCTACTAGTTTATTAGGCTTACATGTCAAGGGGGTCACTGATGCCAGTTGAAATTATTTCGTCCATGATAGGGGTCTCATGCTCATTTTCGTCACACAGTGATTCTCTAAAGAAAATTTGAAACCTGCTTGTAATGTGTGTATTTTTTTCTCATGATTATTTCATTCATTATAAAATAGACCCATCAGACCACGTCATTTTTTGAATGAATTTTGTTTAAATAAGTGATTATTTCACAAGACCTTGTTTATCAGCGATTAAATTTTTGTTTACCTTTTTTGACAGAATTTTGATAGAAATATTCTGACATTTTATAATAAATAGAACTCTTTGGATAGGATTGACGCCAACAATTCCATCCTAATTATTCAGGAAATAATCTAGCCGTATACCACTCGACCTATAAATTTAAATGGAATAAACTATCCAAATATTTTTTGCATAATTTTGCTTTTTGGCAAATAGTTTCATGCACAATATTTTTTAAATAAAAGCCCACGACCGCTTCGCGGTCTCGGGCTTTTATTATGTTATTGTGCATTCAACTATTTTCCAAGCAAAATCATGCTCAAAATATGTTGCATAGTTTAATCGATTAAATTTAAAGGTCTTGTGATATAATATATGAATAAATTTTGACACTTACATAATAACGCAGTTGTTCTCTTGGTCTTGGGATACTGGTGATATCATATTAGATAAGAGTGTGTTTGTGTTTTCTTGATCTTGGGTCCTACAAAATTTAAAAAAAAAAACAACTTTTTTGCAATATATATTTATGTATGTTTTTCCTATTATCAGCTTGCTCGCCTCTTGCACCTACAAAAGCTGCTTATTGGGGGCAACCGAAAAAAGCAATATACTTTCATTGTAGAAAAACAGTTACAAACTGAGTACGTCCAGAAATCGAAGTTGAAATTTACCTCTTTGAACACACTGAAGAACACCTGGCTCTAGAGCTTTCACCACCTGCATTCCTGCTGGCTTAGGAATGTTCTCGCAAGACCAATCTGTAATGATGAATAATGTAGATGTAGAATAAATTTATTAGTGTAGGAAATAGAAACCAAAATTTTCAAACACTTTACTGCTCTAGAATTTAGTTTCTTCTTTCTGGTAAAAAAGGAAATCGGTACTTACATTTTTTTTCTAAAAAAACTTTCCCGAAGATGCTGGGCTCTATTGGTATTTTTAGGAACATAGTAATTTTCTTTCACTTTACCCATTATTTCACAAAAGAAAATCACAAAATATAAAAAATAATTTAGAGAGAATTCCTTATAACTTGTACGTACGATGCACGCAAAAGGCAAGCAAGAAATAATCACAAGAATCGCCTTTTTCACTCTTCCAAGTTTTTCACTGACCTTGGATTCTTTGCCATAAAAAAAAATTACCCGGCAAACTAGTTCAAAATAAATTTCATTTATTTATCGCCAAAGTTCTAACGACAATCGAAACAAACAATCGCGCTAGTGAGTAAATGGTTTTCTTTGTCTAATACCAAAAAATAGACAAAGAAAAACATAGGTCATCAATAGTTGTATTCCTTTCAAGAGCTTGAAGCACTCGAGCTAGTCGCTCCGGTGTTCAGTCGCCCCCGATTTGCAGGGAACAAATGCGTGGTGCAACAAACACTTTTCGAAAGGAATAAGCGCGTGAAGCCCCGGAGCTGTTCCGGACCTCCTCCTAGGTGTGAAAGGAATACAACTATTGAGAACCGATGAACTATTTTTTG